GGCCAAAGTGATATATATCGAATTCGGTGTGCTGTCTATCTATAATTACATGGGAAGTTGGATGGACTCTCGAGTGGTAAGGATAAGTATGAAAACAGGGCTATGGAAATAGTTGTATGCACTTTATGAAAAAATTATCGTCAAAACGTTCGAGAGCTTTGCACACCAAGTCCTGTATGAAAGTTCGGAGACAAGTGTTGGAATTAGAATATGAGTAATGCTACACTTCCCACATTTTTATCCCACATTTCTATACCACATGATGTGACACGTCCATATTATATGCCACATCAATTAAATCAATGAAGTGTACTTAAAGGCAATTAGAAAAACAAATACGGGAATAAATCATAAAAGAAAAGAAAATATTAAATAATTTTAATTGATGTGACTATCCACCTCAGCTGCCATATAAGATGATATAAAGGAGTGGTATACAAATGTGGTAAGAATAACATTATTCTTAGAATATTATTATTATTCCCTCCTCCTCTATATTTGGGGTGAAGAAGCGGTTATCATGAATTTGGAAAAGGAAGTTGGTGGTGCTCTGAAACTTCGGAGCATGACAAAATTTATTTATAAATAATAAATAGACTCTGACGCTAAAATCCATTATGCTATTGCATCCAATAAAAAACTATACTCACCACTTTGCCAATCTTCCCTAGTTTTTGGCCATTAATATTCAACTATGCAATTATTGCAACACAAAAGTAACAACTTTCAAAGATGAGAAAAAGCAGGATTAGCCAAGTTGGCTAAAGCGAACGTGCTCCCCACTATGAATCCGAGCTCGAATACCTATTCCTGTAATTTAGATTATATTAAAGTATACTATCGCTTGTATAAAAAATTAAAAATAAAATTAAAAAAAGCTTTCACAAATGGTCTGAAGGCCGTCCATGCATATTTTAACCTTATTATTGTGCCAGTAAGGTCAACAAGTTCCATTCAGCTACTTAAAAAGAAGATTCTTAACCAGTAGACATGCGCAAAAGTAAATGAAGATAATTCCTGACAGAAAGTTGCAATTAACTGCAAGTAAAACTGCTAGTTACTTTTTCAACTAATAAGGTATCTGAGAGTTCTGTAGAGGATGTGTCTTTACATATCCTAATCATGGATCATACATCTCATCATGCTATAAATTCTGGATTATCCCCTCAACTCTCATGAGATGGCACACTTTAAACATGAACCTAGCTTTTCAAAGACGCACAAGAAAAACCCTAGTTGTAGAAAAACATGGTGGGATAGGAAATTGTGAATGCCACGAAACCATGAGGTTGGGAATGGGACACAAGTACGTTCAGTATTAAGCAGAGATGAAAAGTACGCCTTCAAAAATGAGAAATACATCGAACCTCTTTGTACTGATCTTGTTGAACCAATTCCACAATCATTTTAGCAACAGAGCTTGGTTTTTCCACATGAGGAAGGTGTCCGCAATCTGGTATTTGTCGTATAACTGCATTTGGCAGTTCACAGTGCAATCTCTGCCATATATATAAATATCGAGAACCACAGGATTATCAAACTGTACAGAATTGTCATATGTGGAAAGATGAAATGTTCAATAGGTCAAAACACTACCCAAATAAGAGAGAAAAGTTTGCGCACTGTCAAAATTTCTCTTCAAATACCTTCGAAAAGATTGTTTCCAGATATATTTAATAAGACATGGCAGTCATATTTGTATCATGATCTCTATTTATGCCTATAGAAAGAAGAGAAGTACTACCACTCCAAGCTTGCTGCTAATAATCTGGTCATCCTCACCCCATATGATAAGAGTCTTCTGTTTTACCTGGCAAACAAAATGTGGATGATATTATGAAACAAATATCAGATTTTGGGCATTCTAAAATGAAGAAAACTTCAAATGCAAGGGCATTTCATCCATACGTTGTAAGAGTATAGCAAAGCTTAATCCAATCAAGTTAACAAAAGATTAATTGATTTTATTCCTCTTGCCAAGAGATAAAGGACTTAGGTGAGTATAAAACTACAATCTCTCTCTCTCTCTCTCTCTCTCTCTCTCTCTCTTCTGTTTTGTCTTTTTTTTTAATCATGTGAACTAAGAAACTTGCAATGTAGTAAAACACCACCTATTCATCTTTTGGCAGAAGGGATCCTTTTTCCCATAGGCAGGATTATTTTTCAAAGAACTTCTCAACTCAATTATTTATTTATTTATTTTAAAGTCAGACATACCTGTTCTATCTGGGCACTAACATTATAACCCCCACTCATCATGAAATCCACAGTTGCATCCTCCCACCAAGGAAACAGACAATGCAAGCGGCCCACCTAGATAAGATTACAAGAAACAACATAATTAAATCTCTCCAGCCTCAGAAGATCCTAAGGGGATAAGAAATTGTAAAATTTATCTATATAAATATTGCATTATCTTCTTTCAAATAAAAACCCTTACATTAGTCCAATCTAAATTGGTACCGAGTGATATGCCACTGAAGCCCAAAAAGTTTACATAGAAGCGCAGTGGGGGACTCTTCAATAAAGATACCTGGCCAAAAAAATTCCCTGTAGTCATTGTAATGAGGACATCAAAATAAAATGATAAATATGGCTTTGGCAATGATCTCAGAATCACAGAAATTATAGCCTGTAGGAGGACATGATCTTAACAGAGAAATGGTGAAGATAACATGTAGACAACAATGGATTTGAGGAAATAGTGAGTTGAGTAAACTCTCACTCCAGCATAGGCTAACATTTTAGGCATGCTTGCTAGATCTCCAGTGCCTTCTGTATACACACTTGCATCAATCAAAACCAGCCTTTCGACCTGAAAAGGTAAGCTGAAGACTTCTAAATTTCATGGTACATTGAAGATACTAATTATAACAACCCTGTTCGATGCATTACTTGGAATTTCTTTCAAAATGAATTTTAATTCTAAGATCAAACATTAGAGATCACTTACAGCTTCTGGATGGCTGACTGCAAAGTCAATTGCAACAGCAGCCCCAAGGCTTGGTCCAACCAATATCATTGGCTTTTTGACGTAGGATTTCCAAAGCTGCAGTGAATTTGAAACAAATCATTGCTAGTCTGATCAGCAGATAAATACAGAGTTTACTCAATAATATCAGGAATAACTTCTTCCCACAAAAGACTGGCACAAACTTCTCTTCATATTAAATAAACAAAACCAATGAAAGAGGCATTCAAGAAATAAAATAACCCACCTGGAAAAAATGGTCACGCTTAGAGGCCACATTGCAGGAGGGAAGTCTTTCTGACACATACAAAACAAAATGTGCAAAAGAAAGAAAGAGTTAATTTTTCTTTCTCTACGAAAGTATATGACATAAAAAGAGAGCAATTATTAAAAAAAAACAAAAATTTTGGTCTCAAACAATGAAAGGAGAAAACCCAAATCAGAGAAACCCCAGCCAAGAATGTCAACAGCCCAAGTCTCCAAGCCAGCTTCCTCAAGCAATGGATAAGTGTATCTCCATTCTAAACAGGAGCTGAATAATAAGAGACAGTGAACTTCAAAGACACATATATTTAAAAGTAAAAAACCAAACCAAAAAAAAGAAAAAGATTTTTCCTAAGGACCTGTCAAAACCATGGAGAAGAACCACTGGACTTGCGTTGCTCTGTACCAATGGCTTCACACAACTACTCATCACACAATTTTCTCCAAAACTCACCTGCATTAATTTAATATTGCCCAGGTAGCTACAGAAATTAAACACACTAAATTAAAGAAAACCGTGAAGAGAAAATTGAAGAAATGGATGGGAGAGCTAGAGTTACAGGCAGCCTTTCGATTCGTGCAGCCAGCTTTCGAGCGAAAGGGTCTCTGATCTTCTCGACCTCTTTGGGAAGGAAAGAAGGGAACCCAGCAACGGACCGGACCCTGAAGCCTCTTTGGATTGTGCATTTCGCGGCAATGGATGGTGTAGAGCCGCCTGTGAGACTTAGCATATTTGGTCACCTGCAGGGGAGATTAACATCGGGCAGAAGTGAAACGCAGATGCAGTGTTTTCTCTATCGTCTACAAACTCGTTTACTCTATCCCCGAGGAAGTAGAAGTCGGTTTGCGTGGCCTCTTCTTATGTTTGTGTGGCGGGAGCTTATTGTCAACACGGTGCGTTTCGCACTTGTCCTCGCTCTTGGTGGACTGGGCCAAAGCCCAAACAACAAAAGTATTTGGGCCCAATAACACGGTAACACCTCACATACGGACCCTTTTTTGATGAGTTTTCAACACATGTTATAACGTGGCTGATTTTCACTACCATCCTTTTAGTACCGGTAGGGATGATAACGGTCCAATTCAAGGTCGGGTATGGCAATATCATCTTTGTTTTCGTCTTCCTTGCATGTTCTCGTCTCTGCCCCTATTTCTGATAATTATTTTTAAGGAATTCCCGTAAGGAGCTATCTCCCCAACCCGCCTCGAATCCTCAACTTTTTTAAATTTAAAATAATATTTATTCTACATTTATAAAACTACTCAAATTCATCTCAATTTAAGTTGACAAAATTAAATAAATTTTATATTATATCAATTTTTAAAATTTAGAGATTCCAGTACCCACTCTCAATTTCCCCCTAATATCTCTCCCGATTAGAGTCAGACCCGATGTGGACTTCTGCAATTCCTAGTAGCACATAATAAGTTTTTTCAAATACATTTTTTTGCCTACATGACCAATTTTTATATAATTAATTTATTTTATAAACAATGAAAATGTGATTAACTAATATAATAAAGAATATTCTCTCTTTGATTTTAAAAAAAGAAGAAAAAAAGAGAGACTATTCTCTCGATAATTTAAAATAAATATCGAATGAGCCCAATTTCTGAATTTAAAAGTTTTTTAGGTTGAAATCTTCAAATTTTAGTTGTGTTTAAAAAAAAAAAAAAGTATTTTTTAGCTTTTTCTTGTTGGTCACCGCGGGAAGAAAGCCGTTGCAACGGCGAAATAGCGCCAAACGTACACATGAATTTCATGGAAGCTGGACTAAAACTCTGGACCCACAATAGTCATTCTAAATATGCTCCACGTGTAACTTCACGTTTCATCCGACGGCCATAATACCGACCCATTGGGTTCGCCCTCCAAATAGCCAAGTCTCCGAATCCAATTTCCTAAAAAGGAAAACAAAGAAGAAAAGGCGTGAGAGCTCTCACACAGCGAAAGAGAGAAACCGCCATGGATCCACCGCCGCAGAGACCAGGAGCTCCACAGCATCGTCCTCATCCTCCGGCTCCAGGCGGAGGCGGCGATTCTTCGGCCGTTCTCTTCGTACTCTTTGGTTTCCTAGCCATCTTCGCCTTGGTAACCCCCCTCACACCTTATGCTTTGCTATCGTCCTGAGAACCATGGCGATGTCCTCTTTGTCACCTTCTTCATCAAACTCTTTTTTCACTACTAATTTCTTTTGTATTTTTGGATATTCTTTTCTTCCATCGGACTTTAGGTTTTGCCTTCGAGCTTAAGTTTGATTCTGGTTGAACTAATTGCTCTAGCTTGTTTACAATGTCGCTGCTCTTGATTTTCACGTATTGCACGCTTAAATTTCGTTTTTCATATAGTTTACAGTTTCTTAATGCGTTTGTTCGTATCATTAATGCTTAAATTTTTGCAAAGCTTGCATGTATCTAGTAAAGTGTATCTGCTCTTGTTATGTGCTTATTCCGTAGTAATTTACCTCTTTATTAAAAGCAAATAATTGATTTCGAAGTATGTGATTTCTTTATAATGGTTTTGAATCCATTTTCAGCTATCTCAATTGTCTTTCAGGAATTTGATGCATAACTTATATTAAATACAGCATGGCACTCTATGATGCGGAAATTAAGATTATTCCTGGCATGTCAAGCAATTACCTCAAACAATTGTGATTGCTAAGTGTAGCATTTGGCTTAATACATGAGTCTATAACGACCTACTCGGGTTACTGGTCAAATACAAAATAGATTATCATTCAGAACGAGTCACGAGGCATACTTCCATAATGATAGCCGTAGTAGATTGGATACAATTTTTGCTAATTGTTATGATATGCTAGCCAGGGAACTTCGAGTATTATGTTAAATTCTTAAAACCTGGGATGTGTTGATATTTACAGACGATGCTTCCATCAACATCATTATCCATTCTTCACCAAGTTCCAGAAGGTCATGTCGGGGTATATTGGAGAGGAGGTGCACTTCTGAAGACTATTACTGATCCAGGTAATTTGCCTTGAGCAGTTCCTTGCATAGGGACTTAAATTTTTTCTGCTTCTAATTATTTCAAATTTCAGGTTTTCATCTCAAGCTGCCCCTGGTAACCCAGTTTGAACCTGTTCAAGTCACCCTTCAGACTGATCAGGTAACTTTGTTGACGCTCTAAAAATTTAGGATTTTGTCTTTCCATTCTTATACTTGAACCCTTCTGTCAAAAAAATTGCAGGTGAGGGATATTCCATGTGGTACAAAAGGAGGTGTCATGATCAATTTTGAGAAGATAGAGGTAGGGCTATATTACTGAGAAGTCAGATTTCCAATATTCTCAATGTGTGTGCACTGAGTGGGGTCCTTTTTCAGGTTGTAAACCGGCTTCGTAAAGAATTTGTGTACGAGACACTTCTCAATTATGGTGTGCAATATGACAACACGTGGATATATGACAAAATTCATCATGAGATCAATCAGTTCTGCAGCTCTCATTCTCTTCAAGAAGTATACATTGATGTGTTCGATCAGGTAAGCAAATGACTGTCACCTTTTTCCATATGTAGTTTTTCTACAACATATGCAGTCTGCCCGATGCAGAGCATAACTTTTTTCCTTTTCTCTTTTGTGATGTGAACCTGAGGGTCGTGGCATACATTGGGAAAAAATTATTTGTTGGCTCTGGCATTTGATTTGATGTTTTCCTCCTGGGGTCAGTCATGCATTCTTTTGTTATGTCTCCACAAAGGAGCTGTTGATTAGGTGCTTTGCTGTTATAGATATTTGTTGAGCTTCTGATGCTGTTAAGGATCTTGTGGCACTTCCCTTTCTCTTACCATTTTGGAACGTCCTGTATTAATGAGATAGTTTGTTTTATAATATTCATGGCTTAAATTTTTTTATCTTTTAGTTATGTCCAAAACCTCATATTTTTTACTTGTCTATCAACCAAACAATATATTCAACCTTTTCAGATTGATGAAAAGATGAAAGAAGCTCTTCAGGGTGACTGTACACGTTATGCTCCAGGTATTGAAATTATCAACGTACGTGTTACAAAGCCTGCCATCCCAGAGAGTATAAGACGCAACTTTGAACAAATGGAAGAGGAACGGACTAAGGTAAAGATAAGAAGAGTTCATTTCATTCTATTTCTTCATCCATAGTTTTGTTGCAAACGTTGAATGATTACTAAAATAGAAATTTATGTATCCTTACACCGCATCTAACTTATGCAAGAATTTATCTATTCTGGTTCTACTTCCTGCTCTTTATGGTTTTTTTGTTGAATTTTACAATTTTGTTTACACATTTTCCCTAAAAATTACAGTTCTCCAGTGCAATTGACACATAAGTCTCTTATGCATTCAATTTTACTCTTCCAAGTACTTGATGCCCAAACATCTGAAAAAAAACCTGTAGTGAGATTTTAGGCTAACCTTTTCTTACAGTTATGGGATGCTTTATCATATCGGAGGTGTTGGGTGTTACTGTGTAGGTCTTAATTGCTATAGAGAGACAGAGAGTGGTGGAGAAAGAGGCAGAAACCAAGAAGAAGATGGCTATCAGTGAGGCTGAGAAGAATGCCAATGTGAGCAAGATTCTCATGGAACAAAAGTTGACGGAGAAGGACAGTTCCAGGAGGCAGGCGGAAATCGAAAATCAGATGTATACAGCGAGGGAAAAGAGCCTTGCAGATGCTGATTTCTATAAAGTAATGAGAGAAGCTGAAGCAAACAAGTTGAAGCTTACTCCACAATTTCTTGAGCTTAAATTCATCGAGGCCATAGCTGACAATACCAAAATTTTCTTTGGAGACAAGGTTGGTCCCTGCCTTGAATGTTTTATGTGTTATTTGTGTTTTTGTGTCCTGGTGCAATCTTTACTGAGTAGCTTTGTTCTGCACTCTGCAGGTACCTAATATGGTTTTGGATCAGAGGTTGCTGGGGAACTTCTTGCAGGTTTCCAAAGAAGTTTCCAAGGAAGTTAACTCGGAATCTGGCTCTGGGGAGGATAATCCTGAAGTTCAATTTGTCTGATGCATTGCTATATCTTAAATGTTTGGATTGGTACATGCATACTCTGAACACAATAGGGAGAAAGAAAAACCATTGAATTTTGCAGCTAAATCTGTTGATTTTTCTCTTAGTTATATGTCCTCAGTTGCCCTTTTCTATTTGCTCTTTAAGAGCTTAAAATTTCAGGTTAATATGTTTCCAGAGATACCCTAAATTATGCTGGCGACAGTCGCTCACTACATGCAGGTGGCTTTGTGGAGTGGCTGTTAACATTTGACGAATTATGAGACCCGGTTAACAGCCACTTGGCGCGTGAGCCTTTACTCTATATATGGCATTAGTACGTTACCTTATTTTCATCAAAACATATGTTGGTGATTACGAGTAATCGAAGCACATTAGAATTGTTTTCTGATGATAACATGCGGATCGTTTATTTCCGTTTTTGGTCGTCACTCGTGAGTCGTGACAAGGGGATTGTTATGTTATCTCTTGGACTCGTGTTAAGAATTGAAGGGGTCGCTGTCATGGGGCCCCTTGTTATAGAAACTTCTCTTTTTGACACGTGCGTACTCTTCAGAATAAAAACATCACGTGTCACTGTTGCTCTTCTCATTCGAAAGTTCCAATTTGGAAACGTACGTGTGACGAAGAGTATCCATATCACAGAGGTCTGATGTGGCATGGTACGCAGTGACTGCTAAAAAGGCTCACATCTCAACGATCTGTATTGTCAACAACGATGCTTCATCCCCATCAAATTTTTGGGTGCCAATATTGATATCAAAGCGTGAATTGAAAGAAAAAAACGAAAAGATGCAGGACCGCCTAATTTTATCGCTAACAACTAAAACAGAGGCTCTTTTTTATTTTTTTGGGCCAAAAAAGCCAAAAAGTTTCATAGTAAGGAAACTTTGTATGAACATGGCAACTCGTATTATATTTTAATTATTGTTAGCATTTTATTCTAGAGTTATTTACATTAACATCCTTTTAATATTTTGATGTTTTCACAAAATCCTTGAGGTTTTAAAAATTACACGAACATCCGTTGAGGTTTCAGATTGTTTTTACAAAATCCCTTTTCGTTGATTGTTCGTCCAAAAATGGATGATATCATTCTAATAATAAATAAATAAAAAGCTTATGTAAATGACAAAATTAACTTCAACTAATGCATGTGCAATCTAATCTCACAGGCTAACTTTGTCATTTGGAGAAATCTTTTTATATAAAACCATCAATCTTTGGACGAAAATAAACGGAAATATGTTTTATGAAAACAATTTAAAACTTAAGTGGTGTTCGTGTAATTTATAAAACCTCAGAGGGTTTTGTGAAAACACTGAAAAACTCAAGGATGTTATTGTAAATAACTATGTATTTTATTTTATATTACAAAAGGGGTTATGCATTGTCCCCTAATTTCGGAGGCAAAAATTGCTTCATTTTAGAAGATTTTAAAAGAGACTTGATGATGTCACTGATACCACTATTTTTCTTTCATTTAAAAAAAAAAAAAAAAACTTTCTTCCGTTGATTAAAGTTTGGAATTGGCAATTATTTACTATGGTCGAGATAAAATATTCTACTTTCTTTAAGTGATGGCATCATCATCAGAAGTAAGGCGATATGTTGACTATTTTGGGCAACCATGACATGAGCCGTGGAAATTTCCACGAAAGCACAAGTCCATCTCAGGAAACACATATTCATTCAAGATTCCAGTTCAGCACAGTCGTAAACTATTGATATTCTGAAAACCAAGCACTGTCTAATAGACGTACTTTTCAACGCCTTCAACAAACCGCTACATCTACAACTACAAGTTCTTCGCCTTCTCTGGTTCATGTTCTTGCATCCTCCAAAAGCTACTGTTTTTATTGAGCAAACCGGTTTCATATCAAATGGGGTTCATTGAAAGATTCCCAAGGCTTCTGAGGAGAATATGAGGTTCATTTCTTTCCCTTTTTTGGTCTTAAGAAGAATATGAGATTCTTTCTGTGATTGTGGCATGAAATGAGTGCTTTTGGGTCCACCCAAATAGTTGGGTTCATCATTTTCTTGATTGGTAGGTGATCTTTCTCACTCTACTAACTCCACATACTTCAAAGTACGTTTGTTTGTCAGTGTTTTTTGTTTTGTTTTGGGTTTTCCTTGTTTTGCTTAGACTTGCATATACTGAGTGGTAGATGAGAAAAACCAATTCTGGTGTTCCCCAGAATTGGTTTTGCTCTGCTATGGTATGTAGCTTGTATTTGGAGTCTCACTTTCTTGCATCGCTACTAATCTTATGCCTATGATTTTGGATCCATGGAAATTTTTGGCATCCTTTGACTTGCATATTGGTCACTTTTTCTGTTTTGCTCCTGAGACATCTAGTCTTTTGTGTAATCAATACTTGCTCTTTTTTTTTTCTTTTTTGGAAATTCCAGTACAAATGTTTCATGTAACATATTCCCTGTCTGAAATTATAGCATGTTTATTCATGGGCTAGGAACCCAGTGATATGTATAGAATCGCCTATGTGCTGTGCAGGATCTCTCTGCTATTCCTCTGCTGATTTTTTTACCATCTGAGTGGAATTTTTCAAGTGGGTTAAATATGTATGTGGTGGAAAGCAAAGGAGGTGCTATAGCATGCATGCTGCTTGCCTTGATCTTCTTGGGCACATGGCCTGCTATCCTCACTCTCCTGGAACGACGAGGCCGGCTTCCTCAGCATACTTATCTGGATTATTCAATCACAAATTTTTTAGCTGCTATACTTATTGCTTTAACATTTGGTCAGATAGGCAATAGCACACCTGAGATGCCAAATTTTTTAACTCAACTTTCACAGGTGATTTTTCATGGTTGGTATATGAATCATTCGTTCTCCATAAGCTTGTATTTTATATAAACCCAACTACCCACAAGCCAAGCCAAGTCTCACTATTGTACTATGTAAGGACAGAGAAATAATGAGTTGTTTTGAGCTGGTGTTTGTGATCTTCATCTGAATGAGGACAACTGAGTCTTTTCTTGTGCATTTTCGAATACCTTCAAAATTCTGAAAGGGGTGCTGATATAATGTCATTGGCAGAGATGGCTCTTGTAGTTTGGTGACATTGCCTTATTTTGTTGGCTATTTACAATCATGTCAGTGGCTCCTGCTACTTAGATCCCATTTAGAGTCCATTTTGGTCAACTGATTATAGCAGGTGCCTTGGATCTTCCAGGATGACTGATGCTGGTTCCAGTTACAACTGGTTTTTCTGAAACTTCTTGGATGACATGTGCAGGATAATTGGCCCTGTGTTTTATTTGCAATGACGGGCGGGGTGGTCCTCAGCCTGGGAAATCTTTCCACACAGTATGCTTGGGCTTTTGTTGGTTTGTCAGTGACAGAAGTGATCACTTCAAGCATCACCGTTGTCATAGGTCTATCTCACAACACTTGGATGTATATATCTTTATGATTGGCAATGATCTGAACTTACTTGTGACTCTCTTCTTTTCATATGTAACAGGCACAACCTTTAACTATTTCTTGGATGATAAAATTAATAGAGCCGATATTCTTTTTCCCGGGGTCGGTTGCTTCTTGATTGCTGTTTGTCTTGGCGCTGCTGTTCACTCGTCCAATGCAGCTGATAACAAAGTAAAACTTGACAGCTTGTCTAGTGATCACATAGATGCAATGAAGTACGTTTCTTCTTCCTATAGTAGTCTGAAATAAGTGTTCTTTTCACTGGTTTTCCTAGTTGGCCACTCTTTATTGGAAAAGAGCATTATGTGATCTCCTAATTGACAATCATGCCATAGTTTCCATGATTGGCTATCAAAGGTTTAAATGCTGTACTATAGTGGTTGCTTTTAATCTTGTGGCTTATTAATTTCTTTTGTATCAACGATGACATCACACCAATTTTAATGTTATGACAGGGTTTCCAATACTTCCATGATCCCAAATGAGGGTAAGAAATTCTCTGAAGTTAACGTTCTATTCTATACTTGTGTTCTTACTGTTTATGAGTTATGTAATTATCTTTGGATATTTGGATATCCACAGCTGCGTCGAAGGATCTGGAGAACAGAAATGACCCTGCTCAGAAGGCCAAGGCTGGAACTGCAGGTTTTCTTGTACAGCTTGAGAACAGAAGATCAATTAAGGTTGGTGGTTCTACTTCATATTGCTTTTCTCATTCAGTATTGAAAATCCAATATCTGATGCATTAATATGTGAACTTCTCTATTCTGCTTGTGTAGGTTTTCGGGAAGAGCACTTTTATTGGATTGGGAATAACTTTCTTCGCCGGAGTTTGCTTCTCTCTCTTCTCGCCTGCATTCAACTTGGCCACAAATGACCAGTGGAACACTTTGAAGACAGGAGTTCCTCATTTGGTTGTTTATACTGCGTTTTTCTACTTCTCATTATCTTGCTTTGTCCTTGCCATCATTCTAAACATCACCTTCCTTTACCACCCTGTACTGGGCTCACCCAAAACATCCTTCCAAGCTTATCTGAGAGATTGGAATGGTAGGGGCTGGGCCCTTTTGGCTGGTCTCCTATGTGGATTTGGCAATGGTCTCCAGTTCATGGGAGGTCAAGCTGCAGGATATGCAGCAGCTGATGCAGTTCAGGTTGGTTTCATGACATAAACACATGCATGCATTTAGTGATGATCAACTTGTCTCTTGGTGTGTGATGTTCCATACATGTTTAGTGTTTTTAACTTGCTTATTTACATGGAATTTGGGGTTGTAATGGCAGGCACTTCCACTGGTGAGCACTTTTTGGGGCATCCTTCTGTTTGGAGAGTACCGAAAATCATCCCGAAGAACATATATATTGCTTTTCAGCATGTTGTTTATGTTTATTACGGCTATTGCAGTCCTTATGGCATCATCAGGGCATCGCAAGTGAATATTCAACTGCAAAGTCCTCGTCCGGTGATAACAAAAAGGAACAAGAAGAAAAGATTTCCCAAGTCTTTGTCTGGAAATCGTGTAAAACAAGAATTTATAAATAATTGATGAAATAGTCGAGAGCAGCTGGTTGGTGAAGATGCATAATGGCCCTCATGAGTCATGAAGATTATTGATTCTGCAGGTTCTTCCGAATATCCCAAAGACACTTATTCCCTTTGGTCTTTGGAGAAAGATGCAGTTTATACAAAACAGAAAATATGGGGAAATCATACAAATATTTTAGTGGAATTTGTAAAATATTCTTTCAGATTTCTGTTTCATTGATGTACTATTGTGAATAATTCCATTTGACATCATTGTTTCCAACGTTCCATGTTCATTTGATCTTTGTTCCTTTTCCCTTGTTTTAACTGAAAGATTTGAACCAAAGATGCTTTTCGCATTAGTCTACCTCATCCCACACTAGTTGAGCTATAAAGAAACTTCATCTTGTCACCCCAAAATTTTTCTTTTTTTGTAGAATAACGTAGATTAATGTGTAACATTTTGCCACCCAGAGAAAATTTATCTGCTCCAATACAGACATGGTGAGACCCTTTTTCCGGTAAGTAGCCAGAACTGAGGGTGAAATCATGAATAGCAGCTCTAAAAATCCTGTGGTGGTTGTACACCATCTAACAGTTTATCTTGGCAGATGACCAAGATCCCATCAATGGCGACCTCCCTGTCAAAGAACTTCAAGTCAATGTTACAGACCATCACATTCAGCTCTTTTCCGCATTTTAAATAAAGTTACTAAAGATTACCTAGTCAATCTTCTCATCTGAAGACCCACAGATCCAATTTGCCTTCCAGACGATTGTAGGTGATAAAAGACGTTCTGTTTTCCAACCCGATACCTTTAACTGCAATATAATGAAAGGATAAGATGTTCAGCAAACCTCTCTAAATCTTTTGGCTGCATTAAGCTGTAAAATATGGTACCTTCTGGATAAATTCTTCATAGTGTTTATCCATCCATGTTTGGCTTTCAGAATGTAGAATTCGGTGTTTATCTATAAGATTTGCCATAGCATTTGCATGTAAAAATGACTGCAAGACATCTGTGGCAGTGGAATCTTTGTGCATAACAATGCAGATGTTTCCTTTCCTCTCCATTAGCAAGTACTTGGCTAAAAAGTCCAGCAGAGAAACAACAAAATAAATAGCAAAGTTCATGGTAGCAACTCAATTGTCGGAAGTACAAAGCAGACATCAACCTTTCTTATAATGAGATCCCGCAAAATGTAATAAGTCCCTCCTGATTAAGATTGTCACTCAAATTGTCAGTCGTATATGACTAAGAGCCAGCTCAGAGCTGCTTGTGTTGCAAAAGTAGTTACTATCAAGCCACAATATTGAAAGCCAAACATCTAAAGATATGCACAGCAGCGATCCAATGGTGGACCGGGCTTCCACAACAACTGTTACAAGACTGCTACCAGAAGTTACCGCTTTTTAACCTAAGACCTAAACGAAAATGAATTTTACAGGGAGAGCAAAGAAACTCACAGTTCCAGGTGATTTAGTGAGGATACTCTGACACCTAAAGATACTCTCACATGTATTAACTCTGTTTTCTTTGAGCTCCATGAAGATGCCCATACAGGTAAAATGTGCTCCATCTTAGAGACCTGCTCGGGGGAGAGAACTGGAAACAAATTCAGATGCAGGAATTAAAATCTCATTAAAATAAGATAAAGATGAAGTGTGAAGTGAACTGAAACCAAGCACAGCACTCTTGCAACATCAAACATGGATTGTGACAGAAATTAATGTTACATGAGAGTCAACATACCACTCAAGTTCTCGCATTTTTCAATAGCAGAGTGCTAAGGCAGGTTAAACCCAATCTTCCATAGGAAAATATTCATTGGACAGTCATTTTGTCAAATCACTTTAAATTATGACCATTGCAAAGATGGGGAATGGGGCAGTTTAGATCATGTACAGCTGCCAATATGCTGTTTTTCAGGAAAGTTCTTTTGATGACCCCAATTATAAATTGTGGCACCAGGAAAAGATAATCAGCCTTAAGGGAACAAGGAACAGTAGCTGCATACCTTGGCCAGTTCTCATAAAATGCTGCAAAAGAATTGAGCACCTCTCAGGGTTCAAAGAATTTAATGCAAGGCACCGAACAGCCATGTAATTTGCTGCACAGAAAAGACACGTAAAGCCTTTAAACTTGTTTTATTAACATATAAAGACTTCGTTTCATTTTTTTTTTCTTCCTGTTTTGTATATATGAACTGTTCATTCTATCACAACCAATAAATTGACACAAGTGCCAAAGTAATATTCAAGTTTAGTGATCAAAAGGGTCAAATTTAATCCTTGGTAAAGTCAATGGTAATGAACATTGATGGGGGGTACTTACCATACATATGGAACATGGTGAGCGACAAAAATGAAAACCAAATAGCTAGTGGGTGTTCCATAGTAATGCGAGCAAGAAGCATACCCAGTGCCATACCAACCATCGTTGCCACTGTCTCTTGACTTCCCTCCTATCAATGTAAAGAAAAATGTTAATGGAAAATACTAGCTAACATACATAAGACAGTCCTCGTCTAAGAATCAGAACCATTGTGCTGGTACCTTAGCAGATATATCTGCAGCATTACTCTGAAGAGCAAAATGTTGTGTCAAAGCAGCTCTAGTAGCTCCACTTGCAACACCAGCTAAAAGAGAAGAAAAATTGTAAAACAACAAAAATAGAAAATTATGATCAAGCTCTATACTGCATTTGTTTGACCGTTTACTTGATGAAGAAAAATATTTGTAGACGATAAAGGTACAACTGCCATTGTAAGAATAAAAGGAAGAGGAATACATTAAACCAATTAGTATCATTCACAAGTTTAAATATGTGGCACATCACAACTGATACCAATAAGTTAATCAATGCTCATTTTATAATTATGACATACTTAGCCAACAAATATCAACTATCACATTATACAGATTACTATATTTTCTTATTATATTAAATTTATATAGGAGCTTACTGAATGATCTTGATATACTTCCTAAACAAACAACAAACACAAAAGCTGATGGAAACAAAGGTGAAACAAGGTCCATCAACATTCCTGCAACCAAATAACGGTATTTCTTGTCATTTTAAGACAAAGGATACAAAGAACAACCTTGAACTACGTTTGAAGATGATCTCCAAACTTAGAATAAAAACAAAAGAACAAATGGTTAGGTCATACCAAGATCATTCATAAGGTCTGCAACTAAGCGCCACATTTTGGCATTGCTATCCAAATTTGAGCCCTGAAGAATAAGAGGTGATTCAAGGCAAGAAATGGTAAAGAAATGATGAACATAGAGTTGAGAATTCTTAGAAAAGCAAACTTCAGTCACGGAACCACTAGCCAAAGGCACCGCTAAAAAAGCATAGAGTACCATGCATGCATAAAAGGGTACAAAAGTTCCAAAATTTACAATGTAAATTGTGCACAGAATGAGCAAAAGAACAAGAGTATCACACCTGATAGAATGTGAATAAGATACCTCCCAGCATTCCAGTTAGGTCTCTCAAGAACCACTGCATCATTCTCAATGTTGAAAAAAAAAAAAAAACCATTTACTATGTATTGCAAGCTCGAATACTCAATGAAGCACCCCAAGTCCCAACATTGATGCTAGATATACAAAATTTGTACCTGAAAGGTGGCACCAATTACAGTAGCCGATTTCTCACCGACCCCAATAGCACTCAGTAGAGCCTTAGAGTGAACAAAACATACAATTAATTCATTTAGCAATCACCAGCAGAATTTCATTAAGACTGTATTAGTATATAAGATGCTTACTTGTGTAGAAAGCATGGTCCTTATGTAAGTAGAAAGACCCTTGAAAAAGGAAATTAAGAAATTAATCATGCTGGATAATTAGTACTAATCATCTACTCATTTAATTATTAGAGCAGTAGAAATCATGAGCTGCATATATTTGTTTTGTATATTTACCTGGAGTAAATCCCAGACTTGAAAAGGGGCATAATCCGGAGTTACACTGCTGGGAAAGCCCTGCATACCAAATTAAAAGAAAAAGAGAGTCCTAATTTTTCCCCCTTCTTAAATAACAACAAATAGAAGCCAGAAATTAAAAACAGAAAAAAGAAAATACAGGGGATTAAAAAAAATTTCTTTGTTTTTTTTTAAAGCTTGCCTCGGGTACAAATGCTTCAAGAATTCGCCGCCAAACATGGTGGAACCGGCTACCGGATCTTCGAATTTGGAGAAGAAGTTCAATGTTTAATAGAAAGGAAATGAACAACAAAACAAAAACAAAAAGCACCGAAAAAAGAAGCAACCTTTGGATAGAGAGTGAAGGAAACGCGGTTATGGTGGCAGTTCTGGAGAGTTTGGTGGAAGATGAGCCACTCCATTCTTCCACTATAACCTCCGATGTTGATGATGATACTTCCATGGCCGATTGCTTCAGTGTCTCCGTTGATTCAAAAGGGAGGTTGGAGAGAAGCAAAGAATTGACTTTTAATTACCTTAAAAACAGAGAAATCCAAAATTATATTTCTTCCGAGAGGAAAAAAAAAATATATCAAAAAGCGCTAGAAGGAGGGTTCGAACCTCCGACCTTGTGGTTAACAGCCACACGCTCTAACCAGCTGAGCTATTCCAGCCATTGATATTCGACCTTGTGGTTAAGAGCATTTCTAGCAATGCAGGCTGGGCTCGGGCTCCGGCTGGGGGGGGGGGGTGGGGTCTTTTGTGGGGTTTGCCAGCAATGCCAGGGAGCCTGGGCGAGAGGTGGGGGCCAGCAGCCTAGGCTGGCCTGAGTGTTTGCCTGCGGGCTGAGCTGATGTCACGATGACGTCACCCCCATTATTCCCAATAAAAAAAAGAAAAAAATCGAAAAAAAATGTACAAAAATACCTAAAAAAATACTGAAATTGTTTTCTATAAATACCAACCAATACTCTTCACTTTTAACACCAACAGACAATATTTTTGTAATAAAAAATTGAAAAAAAACCCAAAAAATTACTTCTTCTTTTTTTCTCTCTATATCTTATTTTCCATTTTCAACATTTAAGTAAATGTTTTTGTCCTTTTACTTTT